CCCCAGCATCCATTGAAATTACACGTATGCACAAGTTATACATGCTTAATTTAAATTCAACGTATCCCCCCCAGCATCCATTGAAATTACACGTATGCACAAGTTATACATGCTTAATTTAAATTCAAAGTATACCCCCCAGCATCCACTGAAATTACACATATGCACAAGTTATACATGCTTAATTTAAATTCAACGTATACCCCCCCCAGCATCCATTGAAATTACACGTATGCACAAGTTATACATGCTTAATTTAAATTCAACGTATACCCCCAGCGTCCATTGAAATTAGACGTATGCACAAGTTATACATGCTTAATTTAAATTCAACGTATACCCCCCCCCCAGCATCCATTGAAATTACACATATGCACAAGTTATACATGCTTAATTTAAATTCAACATATACCCCCCCCCAGCATCCATTGAAATTACACATATGCACAAGTTATACATGCTTAATTTAAATTCAACGTATACCCCCCCCCCAGCATCCATTGAAATTACACATATGCACAAGTTATACATGCTTAATTTAAATTCAACATATACCCCCCCAGCATCCATTGAAATTACACATATGCACAAGTTATACATGCTTAATTTAAATTCAACGTATACCCCCCCCCCCAGCATCCATTGAAATTACACGTATGCACAAGTTATACATGCTTAATTTAAATTCAACGTATCCCCCCCAGCATTCATTGAAATTACACGTATGCACAAGTTATACATGCTTAATTTAAATTCAACGTATCCCCCCCCCCCAACATCCATTGAAATTACACGCATGCACAAGTTATACATGCTTAATTTAAATTCAACGTATACCCCCCCCAGCATCCATTGAAATTACACGTATGCACAAGTTATACATGCTTAATTTAAATTCAACGTAAACCCCCCCCAGCATCCATTGAAATTACACGTATGCACAAGTAATACATGCTTAATTTAAATTCAACGTATACCCCCCCAGCATTCATTGAAATTACACGTATGCACAAGTTATACATGCTTAATTCAAATTCAACGTATCCCCCCCCCCAGCATCCATTGAAATTACACGTATGCACAAGTTATACATGCTTAATTTAAATTCAACGTATACCCCCCCCCCAGCATCCATTGAAATTACACGTATGCACAAGTTATACATGCTTAATTTAAATTCAACATATACCCCCCAGCATCCATTGAAATTACACGTATGTACAAGTTGTACATGCTTAATTTAAATTCAACGTATACCCCCCAGCATCCATTGAAATTACACGTATGCACAAGTTATACATGCTTAATTTAAATTCATCGTATATACCCCCCCCCCCCAGCATCCATTGAAATTACACGTATGCACAAGTTATACATGCTTAATTTAAATTCAACGTATCCCCCCCAGCATCCATTGAAATTACACGTATGCACAAGTTATACATGCTTAATTTAAATTCAAAGTATACCCCCCAGCATCCACTGAAATTACACATATGCACAAGTTATACATGCTTAATTTAAATTCAACGTATACCCCCCCCAGCATCCATTGAAATTACACGTATGCACAAGTTATACATGCTTAATTTAAATTCAACGTATACCCCCAGCGTCCATTGAAATTAGACGTATGCACAAGTTATACATGCTTAATTTAAATTCAACGTATACCCCCCCCCCAGCATCCATTGAAATTACACATATGCACAAGTTATACATGCTTAATTTAAATTCAACATATACCCCCCCCCAGCATCCATTGAAATTACACATATGCACAAGTTATACATGCTTAATTTAAATTCAACGTATACCCCCCCCCCCAGCATCCATTGAAATTACACATATGCACAAGTTATACATGCTTAATTTAAATTCAACATATACCCCCCAGCATCCATTGAAATTACACGTATGCACAAGTTATACATGCTTAATTTAAATTCAACGTATCCCCCCCCCAGCATCCATTGAAATTACACGTATGCACAAGTTATACATGCTTAATTTAAATTCAACGTATACCCCCCAGCATCCATTGAAATTACACGTATGCACAAGTTATACATGCTTAACTTAAATTCAACGTATCCCCCCCCCCAGCATCCATTGAAATTACACGTATGCACAAGTTATACATGCTTAATTTAAATTCAACGTATCCCCCCCCCAGCATCCATTGAAATTACACGTATGCACAAGTTATACATGCTTAATTTAAATTCAACGTATACCCCCCTCCCCCCAGCATCCATTGAAATTACACGTATGCACAAGTTATACATGCTTAACTTAAATTCAACGTATCCCCCCCCCCAGCATCCATTGAAATTACACGTATGCACAAGTTATACATGCTTAATTTAAATTCAACGTATCCCCCCCCCAGCATCCATTGAAATTACACGTATGCACAAGTTATACATGCTTAATTTAAATTCAACGTATCCCCCCCAGCATCCATTGAAATTACACGTATGCACAAGTTATACATGCTTAATTTAAATTCAACGTATCCCCCCCCAGCATCCATTGAAATTACACGTATGCACAAGTTATACATGCTTAATTTAAATTCAACGTATCCCCCCCCCAGCATCCATTGAAATTACACGTATGCACAAGTTATACATGCTTAATTTAAATTCAACGTATACCCCCCCCCCCATCATAATGTACAAGCTTTTAGTTCATAACTTTTTTTTCATTCTAATATTTGTATATATTCCTGATATTTTGCAGCCTGGCAAATCTGCCTTTATTAGTTTAATTCATTTCTTTTATTGATGGATAGCATCTAGGTTACATCAAAATATTAACTAAGAAATATGTTAAAATTAGGGATATTCATACCTATAACATTTACATTGTACACAGGTTGAAAAACTAAGCATTTCTTTTTTCTTGATCCTGGAATTTTAAGCATCATCTTCATATAGATAAATCCAATGTCGGAAAGACTTTTCACAGAATTATGACATCATCACATACTGGTGCACCTTCGGTGGATTTCTGCATAGAAAGGGCCGGGCATCTGTTGTACAGGGTTACCAATGAATACCTGTCAAATAATGTAAAACAAAATTACCGGTACAAAGTTATTGATTTTAAATAAACATGTTAATCAGAATATAGGATAAAATGTGGAGAAGGCAATATTTTTTGAGGGTTCATTCTGCCCGTCATAAATAAATTAATGAGGTTAGTAAATTTAAGCTTTCTGAAATCATATTTAATGTATACGTGTGTATTTCATCTCTACCAATAAATAAATAACTTAATGAGGTTAAATTTCAGCTTTCTGAAAGCACATTTAATGTACATGTGTGTATTTCATCTCTGCTTTTAAGTTTCCAATTGGAGTATTCAATGTAGCCTACATGTAGGTTAATGCATTGTCCTTTTTCCATTAATTGTAATTTAAAGCTTCAAGTAGTAATAATTTTTAATAGTTCTTAGCCTAGAAATGCAAGTTTTGTTCAGCAGTTCATAAGTTGGGAAAACAGTTGAATTGTGGGGAATACATGTAGGCCTAAGCCTATACAAATAGTCCTGAAACCCCCCCCCCCCCCCCCCCCGTCCTCAAAATAAAAATACATGTATGTTCAATTCTAATATAAATAAGGAGGAAAAATTGGAGTTGAAACATTAACTTAAACCTCAATTGTAAATTGTGCAATCATGTACTTTATTATTCCATGTAGGCCTAACTGCACAAAAGAACAAGTGATATTATCAATTTATAATCATAATGTTAAGTGTAGGCCTACATGTATATTGCTCTTGAACATGGTGGCTTAGACTGAGCTAAATATAAATGGGTACAAAATAAAAAAAACATTAATATACATTATATCCCCCCAAATTAGGACTTCAGTATTCAAAACTAAATGTGTCTCACTATTTTACATCCCTCCACAAAAATCTCCTTGAAATGAAACAATAACTAACTGCATGGATAAATCGGCAATGAAAAAGTAACTATTGTACATGCATAAAAAATTACCTGTTTAAGTGAAACTCACTGTGTACGGTATTCCAGTTTTTGTGGCCTTGACAATTGGTGAGACATAGCAGACTTCAACGACTTGCAAAAATTAACTGCTTGGCGAAGCAAAAAGAGTGAATACCATGTATTAGTAAAGTTTGATGTTTTCCAAAACTCTGCATTCACTTATTGCAGCGCAGGCATTTTGGGTTCCAATCCAGTCAATGTAAAGGATACCAATGCAATGCTGAAAAATATCATTCATTGTAAAAAAAGTATAAATACTATAAAAACTGTCACAAATATTTCTAAAAAAACATACATCTAGTTTGTTAAGTAATTAAGACTGTTTATGTATTCGGACAATGCATATGTTACCAATTTCACTGACATCATTTATAGTATTCAGATTGTATGCATAGTACTAGTGGCCCCAGTAGGTTTAGTTGTCCATAGAGGAGGCTGTAGCTCAGTATTCTTGAGGTATATCTGCCTCGGAGGACTTCTTCAACACCAGGGAAGCCAAGTGAATGCAGAAGGGCTTCAAAACAAAAACAGAGGAAATTATAAAACTAAAATTAGTTCACAATTATGTTCATGTATAAATTACATGTTAAATATATATATAATTGTAATATGACCAGTCACAGTCACAAACTCAATTCTGTTAACCTTCCATGCCTTTTGCACAGTGCACAGGCTAGCCACTAACAGATCATATATTATTTTGTATAGGCTCTGGGGTAGTCAAATTCCATCAATAGTCAAAATTAGGTGACTGGTCAGCAAATACCCTTGGCAGTCAAAGCATAGCTATGTATCATCAGGTTAACAGTTACAGCCAGTCAATTTTGCTCTATGAGGGCAGGGAGTATATTCAACTGATAAAACAGTCACTTGATTGATTTTGACTGCTGGGTTGGCCTTGTTGAAATTGCCAGCCAGAGATCGAGGGAGGGTCAATTTATGTTTTCTTTGAACAAATTAAATTAACTTTGTACCATGATCATGTGAAGACAAATGCTCTCGTGGCCTCAGTAGGTTCATCTGTCCGGGGAAAGGAAGCAAGTAGTCTTGCGACTTCTGCTATAAAGGAGGACCTCAGCACCAGGGAAGCTGACATGATTGCAAATACAAAAAAAAAGGGAAATAAATAAAGTTAAATCATGCAGTACTGTATACAAACAATCAAGTAAAATATGTTGGAGTAAAAGAAGTTAAAATGAACCGTGAGCTGAGAAGTGATCAATTTGAGGAGTCACGGTGAACGTAGAGTGAAATGAAGGAAAAGTGATGGGCTTATAATTCCTACAATTTATTTCAGAGTGATTTGGTGAGATGAATTGTGAAATAAGAGAAATATGGTGAAGTGTGCCCTACTCTTCGCTTTTACTTCAGTTTGAATGATGCAGGTGAGTGCTAGTGTTTGAATGATGCAGGTGAGTGCTAGTGTTTGAATGATGCAGGTGATTGCTAGTGTTTGAATGATGTGTTTGAATGATGCAGGTGAGTGCTAATGTTTGAATGATGCAGGTGAGTGCTAGTGTTTAAATAATGAAGGTGAGTGCTAGTGTTTGAATGATGCAGGTGAGTGCTAGCTAATGTTTTAACGAGCAGGTGAGTGCTAGTGTTTGAATGATGCAGGTGAGTGCTAATGTTTGAATGATGCAGGTGAGTGCTAATGTTTGAATGATGCAGGTGAGTGCTAATGTTTGAATGATGCAGGTGAGTGCTAGTGTTTGAATGATGCAGGTGAGTGCTAGTGTTTGAATGATGCAGGTGAGTGCTAGTGTTTGAATGATGCAGGTGAGTGCTAGTGTTTGAACGATGCATGTGAGTGCTAATTATGTTTGAATGATGCAGGTTAGTGCTGATGTTAGATTGATGCAGGTGAGTGCTAGTGTTTGAATGATGCAGGTGAGCGCTAGTGTTTGAATGATGCAGGTGATCAGTGCTAGTGTTTGAATGATCGATGCAGGTGAGTGCTAGTGTTTGAACGATGCAGGTGAGTGCCAGTGTTTGAACGATGCAGGTGAGTGCTAGTGTTTGAACGATGCAGGTGAGTGCTAGTGTTTGAATGATGCAGGTGAGTGCTAGTGTTTGAATGATGCAGGTGAGTGCTAGTGTTTGAATGATGCAGGTGAGTGCTAGTGTTTGAATGATGCAGGTGAGTGCTAATGTTTGAATGATCGATGCAGGTGAGTGCTAGTGTTTGAACGATGCAGGTGAGTGCCAGTGTTTGAACGATGCAGGTGAGTGCTAATGTTTGAACGATGCAGGTGAGTGCTAATGTTTGAACAATGCAGGTGAGTGCTAGTGTTTGAACGATGCAGGTGAATGCTAATGTTTGAATGATGCAGGTGAGTGCTAATGTTTGAATGATGCAGGTGAGTGCTAGTGTTTGAACGATGCAGGTGAGTGCTAGTGTTTGAATGATGCAGGTGAGTGCTAATGTTTGAATGATGCAGGTGAGTGCTAGTGTTTGAATGATGCAGGTGAGTGCTAGTGTTTGAATGATGCAGGTGAGTGCTAGTGTTTGAATGATGCAGGTGAGTGCTAGTGTTTGAATGATGCAGGTGAGTGCTAGTGTTTGAATGATGCAGGTTAGTGCTAGTGTTTGAATGATGGCGGTGAGTACTATTGTTTGAATGATGCAGGTGAGTGCTAGTGTTTGATGCAGGTGAGTGCTAGTGTTTGAATAGTGCTAGTGTTTGAATGATGCTAGTGTTTGAATGATGCAGGTGAATGCTAGTATTTGAATGCAGGTCAGTGCTAGTATTTGAATGATGCAGGTGAGTGCTATAGTGTTTGAACGATGCAGGTGAGTGCTAGTGTTTGAGTGATGCAGGTGAGTGCTAGTGTTCGAATGATGGAGGTGAGTGCTAGCAAGGGCTGCAATGAAGTAAGGAGAAAGTGAGGAATACTCAACTTATATCATGACAAACTGCAGGTTCCTGCAGCACTGCAATCAAAACTTCTGTACAGGCATATAGTGGAAGACAAACAAAGACCATCAGGTTTTTTTGTCAAAATTATTTGGGTTAAAATGTCCAATAGTCAGTATAAAATAAATTATGTTACTTCTTTCTTGTGAAGCTCATTATGGCAAAGGATTACCCCGTCCCAAAATTATATTTTCTACAATAAAAATCACCAGCCCTATTCAAATTGTCGGATGCACCACAAAGTATTGTCTATGGACTTTGTGCACACAATACGTCACTTTGGTGTGACTGAAAAGAATTTAATATCAAAACAAAGATATTGAAAAAGCCACATTCAACATTACCCGAGGGACAGGAAGGCTGTACTTTATGTCATAACCCGTCATCCTCAGACCTGCTTGCATCAAACAATTGAGAATCTGGGAAGACAAAAAAAGTAGTAAGTGTCTGTGTCAAAACTGATAGGCCTACATTTTTTAACATTCAACCAACAAAGAAAAGATACAGAAACACAGGGAGAAAACAAAGGGCCCCACAGCAGACAGCGATACATTTTACAAGACCTGCACGACACAACACGATTTTCCTGGGTCCTAATTTATTTGTCCAATTTCAAACCTAGAGAATACTCAACTTATAACATGACAAAAGTGCAGGCTTCTGTCTTGTGGTGCAGCATGGAGAAATCAAATCTCATGTATAAGTGCAGGTATGGGGCAAACAAACACATTCAATTCCACGTCAAATGTCACTAAATGCTGATCAATAGTACCAAAAGTACTGTTACATTGTACTTGCCACTTGCTAATTAAGGCACTGACAAACGGTACAGGTTTATGACCAAATTATACTTATCATAAAATCAACCACAACCATTGAAAAGTCAAGGAACCACAATAAATGTATTGAAACAGAGATATTGAAAATGAGAGCCATCATACCTGTGGGACAGGAACGTTGTACTTTATGTCAACACCTATCGACTTCACACCTGCATGCAGACAATAAATTGAGAAATCTGGTTAGACAACAAAAGTATAGAGTCAAACTCAAACCTATACATTTTTTTACGTTCGACCAAGACAATCAAGATGGAAACAAAGGGAGGAAACAAAAGGGCACACAACACTCATATCACACCCTCCATCCACCACACTGACAAAGATTTTGCTGGGTTCAAATATATTTATCCAATTTCATACTTAGAGAACACTCATCTTATAACACGGCAAACTGCAGGCTTCTGTCTTGGGGGTTGCGGCACACTGAACCATCAAGTCTCCTGTACAGGTGCAGATATCCGGACAAACAAACACATTCAATTCCAAGTCAAAATAATCATGCCATCAACTGTTCAAAATATTTAGGTGGTACCAAAAGTACTGCACTTCCTACTTTTGTTAACTCAAACGGCACAGGTTTACCCCAAATCCTCCTTACGAATAAAATCAACCCACACCCATTAAAAATTAAGGGAACCATATCATAACAAAAATATTGAAAAGATTCACATTTATTCAGGGATAGGAATGCTGTACCTTATAGTAAACACCCATCATCTTCAGACCTGCATGCAGAACAGAATTGAGAAAGGTTGGAAGACAAAACAATAGTGTTAGTGTAGTTTAGAGTCGTAACTATGAACATTGAACATAGATGGAAACACAGGGAGAAAAAAAATGGCCCACAGCAGAGACAGGAAACATATTTGCATCACTTACACAACACGTCTGTCCACCACACTGACAAAGATTTTCCTGTGTCGACCCACATCTGAAAGATGGACAAATCTCCAACCGAAGCTGAAGAATTTATCAAATTTCAAAATGAGAGAATACTCAACTTATATAACATCAGACGAACTGCAAGCTTCTCTCATAAGGCACAGCAATCTATCTCCTGTGTAGGTGCAACTATGAGACAAACAAACACATTAAATTCCATGTCAAAATCATCATGCCATGAAATGTCCAAATATTTATGTGGTACCAAACGTACTGCACTCCCCACCTGCTAAGGCTCTCAAACGATACAGGTTTACCCCAAACAAGGGCGGATCCAGGGGGGGGGGGGCAAAGGGGGCCATGGCCCCCCCAAAAACGAAATCAATTTTTTTTTTTTAATGTGACATCGCAATAAAGGCAGGCAATGAGTACACCACCATCTTTTCCTCAAAAAAACATTGGTTAAAGTGGTCAGAAATTGCCTCAGATCGCACCACAGAGCATCTAGAATCCAAAAATTTTTCGGGGCCCTTAATAAGCGGGCCCCGAACCCCACGCCGTAATTTTTTTGACCCACTTTTTTGAGGGACCAAAAATTTTTTTTGGCCCCCCAAAAAATTGTGTTCTGGATCCGCCCTTGACCCCAAATGCTTAAAATCAAATCAACCACACCCATTGAAAAATAGACCATTTTAAAGAGCCACATTCATCATCATTACCTGTGGCGCTCATCATCTTCAGACCTGCATGCAGACAAAAAAACAGCAACCTGGAAAGACCAAAAAACATTTGAAAATCGCCCATTACAAGGCCAGAGGGCCACTCAAGGTGTTGGCTACAAAGAAAAGTATAGAAGAAAGGGTTACACAGAGAGGATATATCTATTCCCATTTCTTTTGAGGAGGGATAGTATTTGGAAGAAAACAGGGGTGAGGTGGGAGGAAAAAAGATAGAAGAATATCTCACTGTACTGGCCTTTGGAACAGATACAGTGAAGGGATGAGAGGAGACTGCAAAGGGTGTGCTGCGAGTGAAGGTGCGAACAGAAGGGACAACAAGTGACAGACCTTAATTCTGAGCACATGCCATATGTGATAGTTTCTGTAGAAAAGGCTAAGAGAAGCAACAGAACGTCTACCAGAAAGAGGTTCTACGGATGATGCCAGGTTCAGTCCTACCAAGTTAAAAGCCACATGTCAGTGTTAGTATAGAGTCAAAACTATAGATACATTTTGAACATTCAACCAACAAAGAAAAAGAGATGGAATTAGCACAGGGTGAAAACAAAGGGCCCAGTAGTTAAGCAACACCTAGGCCTACACAACAACACTTCCATCAAACTGTCAACAATTTTCCTGGGTCCAGATCTGAAAGAGGGACAAATCTGGAACCGAAGCTGTCTGAAAGACGGGCAATTAAATCTCCAACCGAAGATTGAGAATTTATCCAATTTCAAAATGAGAGCATACTCAACTTATAGCACGATAAACTGCAGGCTTCTCTCTTAAGGCAAAGGGCAATCAAATCTCCTGTGTATAGGACCAAAAAATTCAATTCCAGGTCAACTTATAATCATGCCATCAGATGTCCAAAATGTTTCAATATATGCAGTACTCAGTAAGCCTGAGAAGTATTTCACTTCCCACTTTTGTTATATTTGTAATAAAATCAAGCACATCCATTAGAATGTCAAGGAACCATATCAAAACAAAGATATTGAAAAGAGCCACATTTATTCATCATTACCTGTAGGACAGGGATGCTGAACTTTGTCTGCGCCCATCGTCTTCAGACCTGGATGCTTAAAACAAATCTGGGAAGAGAAACAATTTGTTGTTCTGGAGTAAAAACAAATCAGGAAAGAAGACAAATCTCTAATTGAAGCTTGAGGATTATCCCAATTAAAAATCTTGAAAAAAAAATCAAACTTGCCTTCCATTTATCCACCAAGAATTAAGACTCACATGCAAACATCAGAGGTTTCTCTCGGGATGCACAACAATCATATCTCCGAGTCCCAGCGGAACAATCAGAGACACCATCAAATCCATGATCTCGAAATCATCAGACCATCAGTACCAAGGATGATGTACTCACATCTGGCAAGGCACATCCCCAAAATTTTACTTCTACAAATAAAATTAAACAGCCGTTTTCAAAGTGAAGGAACCATTCAGTAATATTCTGTGCTATACTTTACGTCTATGTCCATCATCTTCAGACCTGCATGCACATAAAATGAAAGAGAAAACTGGGAAGACCAAAAAAATTAGTGTTGATTGAAATAGCCTTTTTTCTTTTTCTTTTTTAAATATTCAACAAAGACAAAAGAGACAGAAAGACAGGACGAACAAGGGCTGCATTCAGAGACTGGACACAAAAAGCCAAGAAAATTGAAATATCAATTTCATATCAGGGGTACCAAAATTTACCTCGAAAAATAAACTGCACACTACACATTCAGACTCAAGGAACCATTGACCATGGAATATTAGCCATACTAAATATGTACCTCATGGAGTTGAATCCTATATACTTTACATCCATCCTAGATCATTTTAAGACCTCCCTGCAGAAAGGAAAAAGAAACTAAGAGAATACAATAAATAGTGTTAGAAAAGCGTCAAAACTATGTTTTTTTCATTCAACCAAGACAGGTGAGACGCAACCACAGGCAGGGAAAATGAAGATGGAGACACACACAAGACGAGCATATTATTAACAGCAATAGCCGCCATGTCCACCACAGTCCTGTAACCTCCTCCACAAGTAAAGCATGTCCACCACAAGTAAAGCATGTCCACCACGTGCGCTGACATATATTCCTGACCCAGATTTAAAAGATGGAGAAATTATCCCGTTTCAAACCTACAGAAATATCACGTTCCCTTTTATCCATTTCAAGTGAACATTACATGGAAAACAAATGTTGGAATACTCAACTGGTATACTCCTGACAAACCAGGCTTCTGTCCTGCCCAACAACAATCAAATGTCCTGCATACAGAGTTAGGCACACAAACACAACTTAAATGTCATAATCAAAGTGAGGAAATATTTTGGGAATCCTTTTTAGAATGTATATCCTGCATTGACTATACATACTGTCAATCAAATATTGGTCAATCACCATCATGTTCAAGCCGACGTCCCCAACACTGATCAACTAATGGGCCTGATGTACCCCCTTGGTCGTTTACTAGGAACATCCCTCACTCTTGCAAAATCGGAAGCCATATGGTAAAGTCAACACCCAGACTGATGGACTCTGATTACATAGTGGTATGCCTGAACCATGCAAAGCGTATTCAGTAGCTGGTGGAGTACTAACTCCAACAGATTTGAACAAAACATGCAGTTGGATTGTGATGGGTTGGAGGTGGTTAGGGTGAAAAGGGTTTGTGGTTAGGGTGAAAAAAGACCCTTCAAGATCATATTCTTCCCTTTCTTAAAACTGTTTCTTAAAACTATATTTCTTATAGTTATTCTGTGCATTAACCCCTAGTGATTATAGTCAATATGAGAGAAATATGTAAAACGTTAAACTCAGTAGGTCAGATTCAAGGGGAGAAAGATGAAGTGTTAATTAAAGTAAATAGTCAGCGAGTCATCACTGCACCAAAAAAAAACCACCCAAAAAACAAACAGAACTGTTTAGAGCAGTAAAGCGTAACCGAATCTGCCTGTTACAGGGATTTGAAGTGTTATCCATACTCCACAGAAGTTTACCTCAAAGGAATTTGTAGTGTGGGTGTTAAGTCTACCGGTAAAAGTGGTTCTGCAAAACCTGAAGGGCTGTGAAAAGCAGAGTATAGAAGGGTTAATATGGTTAGTTGATTTGGGAGAAAGATTTGCGGATTTTAATTAAGACATGTGTTTATCTTTAAATCACATGTTTATAATTAAATCTGAGTGGTACATCCTTACCTTTATTTTTTTTTGCATACACTGTATTGCTTGTTTGTTACAGGAATGGGAATGTCAAAAAAGGTTTCTTGACCACTATTTGCCCATCCCGTTTCCGAGTGAATGGTCTCCCAAAAGGTTTCTCCCTGGTACTTGTACATAAGCTTTAAAAAAATAAATTCAATTTCAAATCAGATTATCACTTATTGTTGATTTTGCCCATCATATTACGCGAGAAGTGGAAATTCAAATTTTTAAACTTATCTAGCTGACACGCCTGTGCAAAAACTTTTATACAATTCATCTTTGCAGTTACATTTTGGTTATGATTAATTTTGTGGTGCTGCAGAAATAAATGAACAAGGACAAAATGGTTCACCTTACCTCAAGGATGCATGACGGCACCTGAACCATGGCCAGCTAAGACGATGTGTGGTGCCTGACGAGACAGGACAAGGATTTGTGCGTAAAACGTCTTCCTCTGGATGTTATCCACGCTAATGCAAATAGAACTGAAGACACAATAATTTCTTTAAAAAAAAATTTTCACAAATTATTTTTGGAAAGCATGTTGCATCCTAACGCCATTTTTTTAAATCATATATTAACCCAATGAAGGTAATTCATGGCAGAAATGTAAACAAAAAAAGACATGAATCTGGGACTGAGAAACCTTTCCAATTTTGTTTGAAAATGCACTCGTTTCTCCATAGACTTTGTGCACAATCAATGTTGCGTCAGGATACTGCATTCTTTCCTTATTCTCGTCCATATTCCACACTTATAGACGACATAATTTTAACATACAAACCAAGTAATCTATACTCAACGTAAATTTCGATTTGGAGAATGCGCAGTCGACGGACATCTTTCCTGAACATCCAAAACGAATCCGCCATCGATGTGATCATTCCTAACGTGTGAGTGGTTCCAGATTTTCGAGTGGTCCGGAAACATCACCCAATGCCCACAGATGAAAAAAATCAGTGATAAAAGGGACCTTGGAGTATTCAAAACGAAACCAACCGGTATCTCGAAAACGATGCATCGCTTAAAATGAGAAATTTTCGGATTTAAAACACTTCGTCTACCCCGCGAACAAAACACATACAGCGGCTGGCAAAGACGTGGGATGTACGCATGCGCGCGAAATTTAAAATGGAGGCGTAAGCACGTGCAATGCTTTGCGCGAAATGGATTTTTTCCCTTTCTAACGCGTTGAGGAGTTGTGAGGTCCTTGGAAATTTGAACTGAAGTTCTAGATTCCTAAAAGTAGCAGTCCAAGGAATCGTATACATTGAAAATTCTGAGGTTTGATATTTTGTTTGTTTTAATTTTGGCCTTCTTCAAAATTAATTTTTCATGTAAAAATTTGAATGGCCCAAAA